ATTTAGTATTTCAAATAAGTCATACATAGGCACTCTTACATAAATGTTTAATCCAATATATATTTACATAACAATCATGGCTATGTAATTAGTCTAATCTTAACACAAAAACAATGACACAGTCTACCTGTGTATATAATAAGTACTAGTTAAACTTACGTGTTGAAAGTCTAGAGAGAAACCAGGGTAGGTGTTGACTCTAAGATATGGGTAGCTATACTGAAGTGTCCACCCTATAGCCTGGCCCCCTGGCTGGTCAGCTATGGCCGAGTCAGGTGATTATAATTATACATATACGAACTCCCTTCACACCCTCCAACCTCCTTCTGGGCCTCTCATCTTCAACCATCTCAACACTCTACATTGTATACGGGCAGGCACGCCCAATAAACATGACATGAGTTACAGCCTAACATAACAATTGTTTATATGTCATCATAATTATGTACCGCTTGCGGCAACAGGCATCACCCCTAACAAGGTTGCTTAAGAAAGATGCAATATTTGTGTGGGATGCTGAACACGAAAATAGTTTTGCGGCATTGAAGATAGCGCTTACCAATGCCCCTGTTCTGGCATTCCCTGGCTACACTCAAGCTTTCACCCTCTGTACTGACGATTCTGGACAAGGAATCGGAGCCGTACTCATGCAAGAGGATCTCGCGAGGAAAGTTTCGAGTGATAGCTTTTGCAAGTCGTAAACATAATGATGCTGAAACACGTTATTCAGTAACGGATTTGGAGACGTTAGCTGTTGTGTGGGCACTGAAGAAGTTTAAGGACATTATATTTGGATATAAGATAACTGTATTTACGGATCATGCGGCAGTGACTGAACTGTTCAATGGCAGAAACTTATCAGGCAGATTGGCATGCTGGTATCCGACAATTCAGGAATTTGACCCCGAGTTTAGGTATTTACCGGGAAGGGCGAATGTTGTCGCCGGCGCTCTGTCTAGAAATATAGCACCAGTGATGCCTGTATCAACGTTCACTCTTTCACAACTGGAGGATGAGCAACGATGCGATCCGTTATGGTCAGCAGTCATTTTTGCTTTAGAATAGGGAGAGGATGTTAAACTCCCCAAATTAATTCTTCCCTTAAGTCACTACTGTTATTTTAAAATGCCACGATGGTGGTAAGCAGTTAGTTGTGAAAGGTCATTACAAGGCTCCGGATTACTGTGAAGTCACTTGTAGTTCATTACGGACCTTGCCTACTCATCAGTATTTTGCCTTGAATTTAAATCTCACGTCTGATTTAATTCCCATGTTTCCTGTTATGAACTTTACTGTAAAAGAACTTAAGATCGTTTCAGAGAAATTAAAGGTTATTTCCTACTTGAAAGAGACCCAATTTGCTGATTTGAATAATAATTTGCCATTTTACTTGTCACGGGAAGTTGCAATACCAAGTCTAACAATTCCCACAATTGAGTTAAATTTGGCAGTTTTGTTTCTGTTTTGTTATTATAAGTCAGTATCATCCAAATTGACAATTGTCCACAACATTCTAACCCCTAAGACACTTAAGTCTAGGACCCCTGTAGTTGATGAAAACCCTACGGTTGCAGAGTCCCCAGCTTAGTGTTTACATATGTGTTTATAACATGGTTAGGGTTAAGTAGGATGTAGTCTGCGAGATTATTTAGTTCTCGCAGAGCTCGGGTGGTAGGTGACCGAGCGATATAATGGCCCCTGTCTCATCAACAGAAGTATTATATAAATGGGTTCATTACATTTGATTTATATACCGATTCATCCCCTGTAACTTTCCACTGGCTATGAGTTGTCATGCTCTTATCACGTGACTGTAAGTCAGAACATGGGTCAGCTCGGATAAACCGGCACCCACGGGCAGTCCCACTCATAATCTCACATCGAACGGACGTGATTAAACCGTCTATTTACATAGCCGCCGTCCTCTCTCTTCACACTCATAAATAGTGGAAGTTACGGTTGATTTACACTCAGGAATTTTATCAACAACAGTTTCTTAATAAAAGGAAGAAACAGACAATTGGGTTTCGTTACTCTAACCCAATATAATATATATGATCAGTCTTATATACATTATGACTAGTTCACTGCTGTGTTTGAATAAAAACTGTATTACTTTCCCAATATACTGTATAGCAGGGGTTCTCAACCAGGGGGGAATTCCCCCCAGGGGGGGAATTCAGGTTTTCGGGGGGGGGGAACTGATTCGGGAGCAAGAGATATGTTCGATGAGAAATCAATCACAGAATTTTGGCCCTTGATGTGCGATTCCTACCCAAAAGTGGCAGAAAGAGCTATCCGTGCATTGCTTCCGTTTGTGTCGACATATCTTTGTGAGTCAGGCTTTTCAACTCTGTTGCAAATTAAAACGAAGCAACGTAGTAGATTAGAGGTAGAAAATGACCTGCGTTGTGCCCTTTCAAGCACTCCTCCGCGTATCCCAGAATTGGCGAAGAAAAAACAATCACAGGTTTCTCATTGACTGTAATCTTCATCTGAATAAAATTAATTACAAATTTACAATATCCTGGTATTCTATTGAACTTTTTGTTTATTGCATTATGCTTCAGTTTGGTCTGTTAAGTAATTCATTATAAATAAAATTAAACTATTTTACTTTATTCAAGTTTTATAAATCCATCAACATTTTCAATTGGCATTTAATTTGTAAAACTCCACTATAAAAATAATCCATGTAAAATTGTAAATGTATATGTACTAATATGGAAAAAATAAAGGATTTTCAGTATTATATGCATATTATTTGGAATGCACTTTTTGAGGCAGACAATCTTGGAAAGCAGGAGGGAATGACATTCTGACATATGGTGAAAGGGGTGCATGGGGCAAACAAGGTTGAGAACCACTGCTGCATAGGCTTCAATTAATTATTATGATTGATCAACAATTGGTATTAGTGTATGTGTGAAGTTGTGTACTGTGAAGGAGTAATGTTTATAATCATAGTGATCAGAAGTATGTATTTATTTCCAAAATGATTGGAATTATTTTTATACTACGGAAATTATATTTCTGTAAAGTAAACAGATAAGAAATACATATTTATTTCCAAATTATTGATATTATTTTTTAAAGGAAATTAGATTTTTGGTAATAACAGCAAAAATATTTGACCTTCCAAAGAAGTAAGAAATAAACATCTTTCATTACTTTCTTAAGTTTATTGTATTCCCCATATAAAATAACATTTAAATATTGAATACATTTACATGCTATCCTTCCAAGACAGAGATTAGTAGTCCCGTGAGGCATGGGGGAGGCCTTTTGCTGCCCCCTATAACTATATGACATTATTTGCTTACTTTGAGGAATCGATTCTGGAATCGATTCCAGCGATTCCATTGACACTGAAAATCGGAACTGTCGATTCCAATTTTAACGATTCTTGCCCTGCCCTAGTATATGCTGAAATGACTTGACGTTCACCCAGGCGGGCCAGGCCCCTAGACGATAACATACGGCAGTACCCAGCAACTGATCGCCCTAAACTCACCAGAGGCTGTCTGGTCCAAGCCAAACCTGCAACACGTAAGTGTGAAAATATTGTTTCATTGTGGACGTGAAGAATATTAATTGAGTAACTTCTGATGATATGCAGATTATGTTGTGTTTACTATCAAAATAATCTACTCATTTGCATGCTAATATTAGGTAAATGTATAAATATGATATGTCACCTAACCTTCAGTTTCCCCCTTGTAAATTGATTATTTGTATTTGACAGGTATGACCGAAATAAACTGTATCGAGCTGACATGGCAGGTCAATCTCCTTACCGGGCGATCATAATTATTATTCAAACAGAATAATGTAGGTTGAATTTCAACCTTTTTCCACTGCATCAAATCAATCTTGAAGCTGTACTGTACTTTTTTAAAACGTTGGTTCTCAAACTAGATCTGTTTCTAGAGCTGATATCATTTCATCTATCGATGCGGATCTGTGCAGCATCTCTTAATGGGGAGGTAGAAACAGTAGTAAAACTCTGTATTTACCAATTACATTTTCCATACTAGATAATCTCCCACCAATCACATTTTAGGATGCAATCATTCTGCCAAATTCTAAAATAGATATGCTAGGCCTCACCGTTTCCTCTAATATGTCATGGAAGCCACACATCCACAACATTGTTAAAGCTGCCTCCCGAAAGCTGGTAATACTGTACAGATGCCGTAGCTACTTCACTCCTGAGCAGTTGCTTCGAGTTTATAAATGATTCATTCGTCCCAACTTGGAGTACTGCTCTCATTCTGGGGTGGCTCTTCTTTTGTCCAACTGTTAGATAGGGTGGAATCAAAGGCATTTCGTCTTATTATCTCTCCTCCTTTAGTTGATAATCTCTCTTCCCTTTCTCTCCGCCTCAATGTTGCTTCACTCTCTCTCTTTTACAGGTACTTTAACGGGCAATGTTTGGTGGATTTGGCATCCTGTGTACCGCCGGCAAGGCCGTGGGTTCGTAACACTCGTCTTGCCCACGGTGCCCACCGTTTCTCTGTGGATGTCGGTCACACTAGATTCTATAATAACCCGTTATAGTACATCCTTCTTTCCTCCCACAGCCAAACTGTGGAATGCTCTGCCTTCTTCTGTGTTTCCATACTCATGCAATCTGTCTCTCTTGAAAAAGCTGATTTTCCGGCAGCTTCGTGGTGTAGGTTAATATATTTTTTTCTTTTCTATTTCTAATTTCTTTTTATTCATATTTTTTGGCCCCCTAGGCCCCGTTGTGGATGGATGACCTGTGCCCGGGTGGGCTATTCCCCATAAAAAAAAATCAACTTGTAGAACATTGATATTCTTCTTATCATTAATCTGTTCAAAACAACTACAATAAAGTGCATTGGTTAACTGTCTATTATTTTTTCTATTAAATGGTGTAAAACTGTAGTTACCTCCATCGCTGCCTGATCAAGCCTTAAAACAAAAAATATGAATAAATTATAGTTTTTAGTGATAAGACTCCAGGGAAATAAACGCATCATTATTAGAGATAGCCTTATTTCGTTTGAGACGTCTTTCATTATTTTAACATAACCAACCTTACCGAAGTTAGGGCCGGGTAAGGTTAAGCTTGGTTAAGTTAGGTTAAGTTATGTTACTTCAGTAAGTACGATAATATTCACCTATAGTTTCTATTATGTGTACACCCACTAAAAAATTATTCGGCACCCGTATCATATTGTATCACGCCGTAAGGGTGCCGAATAATTTTTTATTGGGTCTACAGTAGTGTTTGGTGTACATTACTATACATAATACTTCAACATTAATGTACATCCAATAAAAAATTATTCGGCACCCTTACGGCGTGATACAATATGATACGGGTGCCGAATTATCGTTTTGACACAATTTTTTCTAAAATGCACGATATCATACACATGTAGAATTAGTACAACACTGTCTAAGTACTCACAAAGCATGTAGGTGGTGGGGTTGGCTAAGGTTCCCATAATGAAGCGGAAGGCGAGAATGACACTGAAGTTAGTGATGACAGAGGTGCCGAGGGATATGAAGCTGAACATCACCAGTGACACCACCACCACGATCTTTCTTCCGTACCTGCAGGAACACACACACAAACATACACTCTCAGCAAAAGTAGTAAAAAAAAAATGAGGAAAAAATTCCAGTTTTGTTATATTCATGAAGTTCAGGAAAGATTAAGCGAGTGAAGGATGTCATCAAGGTAACGCGAGTAAATTAGAGTTGGTTATGGTAACTGCCAACAGTTACATCACCATCAGAGTATAGCTTGCTAGAAACTTACATTAAAAATAGATGTGTGATGGGGACATGTTACGGCACACATAAGTGGATGACGAAAGCCCCTCACGGTCCACACCACTACACATTCATGTATATTTTAACACTGCTAAGATGTACATCGCTAAAGTATCATTTAAAAAGTACTGTGACTTATTTATAAGACATTCTCAATATTTTAGTTCAGTTGGGAATATTTTTAACCGATAGTGAATGTGTAAGAAAAGCAAAAAATCATTGCAGAAAACTTATTGTCAGGAAAAGTCCCCTTGAAGAAGTTTTCTCAGCGGATAATTATTAGGTGACACAAACACCCTGAGGTTACACTCACCTTCACATTGTACCATACTAACATCTCCCAGGCAACATGGATGGGTTCCATAGGCCTCATGGCTCGTTACGGGTAGTGCCAATGTAGCACACTAATATTAAACCTTTGGTATATTACTGCACTCAATGTCCTTACTTACCAACTGTGAAGGTAGGTGTCCATTCACAACTAGGTGGATGGGAAGGGGGGGGGGGAGACTCCGGACGCGAGCCAGCAATTCTTAGACTGGACGCAAGCTCTGTAGCCATTTGGCCGCCGTAACACAAGTAGTGTCGGATAAGCTAAACAAACATTTTTCTGTATAACTTTCAGAGAATAATATGTAATGTGTAACTGTTATGGAAATTGTATTGCGACCAGTGTCCATGCTATGCTGGTGTGATAGATATAGGCCCTATGTCAGGAGTGTAATTATACAGCGACAATGGCCACCTCTCTTACCTGTCAGCTATATATCCCGAAATAAAGAGACTGAATATGGTGGAGAACATGTAGATGCTCTGATAGCTGGCTCGGAGGTACGCATTCTGACACACCAGCCCGAACTGTTGACAGAAAAACCTTGATACACACATCCAAAAAGGTGATAAAAAAGTGAGGTAACACGTCTCAATGTATAAAGATTTGACAAAAATGAACTGAAAGTCTAACAAAATATGGTACTGCTAATTTTAATGATTGGCTGGTAACTTTTGTTGTAATAATTATTATAAAATTTAGAGTGTGTCCCTGGAACACCAGTTACCCACCGGACATCAAGATGAGATCTAGTGGCGGCCAATTATGAATACCCGTACAGTGTATTACGATAATCATGTCTAAACGGTACCCGGAACCCGCTGTTCCCTTATGACAGCAACTGGTTCATAATATAATTGCTGGGAAGCCTAATTAAAAGTGTGAAACTCTCTCTCTTCATTTCCACATTGTGTTATCACATATTGATGAAGTGATTAATTAAAGACTGAACATAGTCAGGTTAGGTGGTAACCTAAGTTTGTTTAGTTAAGAAAATTAATTTAGGAAAGTCTTCCAGGTTCACTGTTGAGTGTCCAGGGTATAACAACATTCACGACTTGCTTACAGCTACCTGTAACTACACTCATTTCCTTAATTAACGCCCCCTGTTATGTTTTTTCACTGGAAATAATTCAGTAGTCCTATACTTGGCATTCTTATACCATCAAACTTTATATATCAAATCACATGTACAGTATCTTTTACACCTACCAAAAGTAACATTGGCGATATGTAAGTTTTGGTCAATGTAAGATAAGTGTTAATATAAGAAACACGGCCTTATTGTTATGTTGATCGTAATGTTTATGTTTTTTCCTGCTCTTCAACATGTAATGCTCGGACTCAGAAGTGGTGCCACTAAGAAGGCTCAATTGGCTCAGCCACATCAATATTGGCATTATTATCCCCCCCATGAATCTGTATTTTTCTGGCTAATTAAACTGTTTTAATATCAATATCAATACGGCAGCTGACATATACACTACCTCAGAGGTGAGAGTCCGAGTGAAGACGGAAGTGTCGAAGTCCCACTCGGTGCAGTGTTTCTCTTCCAACCCCGCCAAGGATGACCTGTCCACTGTGTAGGTGCATGAATCTCTGCGAAGGAGGACACAAGTCAGCTGTTAATGTAGTGTGGAAGAACAGATTGGCCAAAGTGAAATTTTTTGTAGTTGTGGAAAATTATTGAATATAATCAGAAGACAAGGATGGAGTTATATTGGTGTCGATCAATATATTGGTGTGGGGGTATGGCGAGTTTTGTGTGTGTGTGTGTTGGACCAGCAGCCGTCGGTGCTGGAGGGTGTCAGGTTGTGTGCACTGAGGCAGTCACAAGTGGCTCATCACGAATTTTCTTTTTACATCGAGGAAGGAATTGATAAAAGTGATTCTACAGTTGTTTATAAGAGTAGCTGTTGCATAGATTCTTTCCTAGCAGTCATTGAGCAGCCAAGCTCAAGTCACATCATTTTATATTTCATCAGTCATATACTTCTGTACGGCGACTACAACAGTGACAAGGGAAACATGGCGCGGATGATCACAGTGTTCACAAGACAAAGAACCCTACATGAGCTTTTTCCCAGCACTGAACGATAATATGCGCTACTACAGACGAGGTGGTGGCTTGCGTCGTGGCACACACACAGGAAGACACAGGTACCTTGTTCAATAACGTTGCCTTGGATTTACATTATGTATCACACCCTAGAAAGATCTGACCTTTCAGACGTTGTGTCGCCCGAATGTTGCCCGACCGACTTGCAAGCTGACCAGAATGAGCTGCTCATTCTCATGATAAGTTTATTATATTCACATCCTCTGTTGTCTACTCTATTCTTGTGTTGCTTATTATGTTGTACACCTCCTTCCCCATTCCGTATGTAGGTGCCCCGTGAAGTGCTTCCCCCGATGATACGAGTTCCAAATAACGTAAGGGAACTATGGGGTACTAGGGTGTGTCATAGGAGGGAAGATCAGCCAAAACTAATCGCCCATCACTTTTTTGGTAGATTTTAGTGTATATAAACAGAAAATAATTTCAGTTTCAATATTTTGCAACCTTTTGCTAGGTAAATTTTAGCGTGAAATTTATCGAAAATCTAACGTACAGCTGCATTAGTGCATTACAATTAAATAGTGAACATTGCTTTCTGACTTCATTCTTTAACAACCCAACTAACAATATTTTTTTCTGTTTCAGATTCTGATGCATTTATAAGTTGATAATATTTGCGATGGCTGCTTGTGTCAGGACGAGGAACCAAAAATCCAGCCATCTCAGTCACTATCTTGGGTCTGGGAGAGAGCTCCTGAAGTCGGAGTTGCCTACATTGAGAGATGCTTTGAGATACGGTGTTTTAATCAGGCAAATCAGTGAAAAGAACCAAAGAACTTACACAAACAAAGACATTGCCAGTGATATGACCAAAGCTGTCTTGGCGCAGTACACTCTGGCTAACGCTCAGTTCAAGCCTCCAGTCATAACAAGTCAGAAGAAGATTAGTGAGAGACTGCTAGCCAGTTGGGAAAAGGCAAGAGATATCTCTCTTGGGAGAGGAAAACTTGCAGTTAAGGACAGCTTTGCCAAGCAACTGGACCAGTTATTTGACATAATTACTTGCAAGTGCCCAATTGTTCTCTGTCCTGAGTTTGGATGCGATCGTGACTGTAAATCCGAGGCCCACATCTCCTGTATTTGCAAGCGTGAACTGAAGATTCCTGTGATCGAACTGGGATTTGTCAAAGCACAGAGAGAGAAGACTGGCAGTATAGGGGCTCTCATGATTTCTAGCCAAGATATTCCGGAGTCCAAGAGACAGGAGGCTGCCACAGAGAGACAGAAGAGGAGAAGAGTTGCCGAGGAAAAGAGACTTGAGAAGGCCCAGGGTGAGGTAAAAAAGGCCGATGATTGGAGTCAAGCTGATTCAGAGTTTAATGACTTCCCCATGGCTGATCCGAGTGCTGACCAGGAGAATGGTGACTTTGTCCCTAACCCAGAAAATAATGATCCCAAACCTTCCAGGCATAAGATTCGAAATAGGAAAGATATCCCGAGCATAGCTCTGGCCAGCATGCGACACCACACTGGTCTCAGAGAAACTGCAGAGATAGCAACAGCTGCCTGGATTGACGGTGGTTTGATAACACCTGATGATGTTCACCTGGTGATAGATCATAACAAAGTAAGGAGAGCTCAGGAGAAACTTGTCAGTAACCTAGAAGAGGAGTTTGATAAGGGGATAAGAGAAAATGGAATCAATTGTTTGTTCTTTGATGGGAGAAGGGATGACACTAAAGTGTTCATGAAAGTTGGAGATTCTCACAAGTTGTTCCCTGCCATGGTGAAGGAGGGACACTACTCCTGCTGCAGTGAACCAGGAGGGAAGTATTTGTGGCATTTCACTCCAGAGAAAGATGACATCAGGAAACCAGCTGAGATAGTGGCAGATAACATTGCGAACTGGCTCACAGGGTGGCAAGGGGGGGTCATACAGTGGATAGAGCGGAAGATTGGGAGGAAGCTGGTCTGGATTGTTTGTGACCTCCACACCAACGAGTTGCCACTCAGACATCTGATCCAGGAGCTGGATGGCAAGACTCTTTCAAACAACAGATGGTCTGGTCCTCTTGGGAAGATGCTGGACTCTGCCACTGAGTTAGAAATAAATCCGAGCTTTGAAAAAATCACAGTTGGCCCTCCACTCGTTGAGCTTGCACATACTGTCATTGACGACCTGAGTACTGACCAGTACTATGGTTACATGATTTGCAGTGCCATCAAAACTGGGGTCATGCCTGATAGACTTGTTTACCTGCAGATAGGTCCAGTCTTACATTCTAGGTGGCTCACAACGGCTCTCAGGTTCTGCAGAATTTGGGTCGCTCATCATAAACTGAAAGGGAACCAGCTTCACAACCTGAGACTTATTGTCCAATTCATCGTGAGTGTCTACTTGCCAAATTGGTTCAACACCAAGGTCAAGTCATCGTTCTCCGAAGGTCCGAGGCATGTTCTCTTCCAGCTTGAGCTCCTGAGGAGTCAGCCAAGGAAGGTTGTTCAGATTGTGGAGCAGACTGTGAGGAGGTCTTCCTGGTAGGCTCATCCCGAGGCAGTTCTGCAAACAATGCTCTGCAGTAAGGATGAGTAGGAGAGAAGAGTGGCAGTCAAAAAGATCTTGGATATGAGACTTATGAGAGGATCTGGGCATGACGAATTAGTTGGTGACGATTCCTTCAGGGTCAGGAAGACTCCTGAAGTCAATCTAGGTGCCAAGACCCTCACTGATCTCATAGATCTGGATAGCATCCAGGCTGGCAGTGAGCCCCCTCTTACCTGCAGCCTCACCAATGTTCAAGTCAGAGCTTTCCTGGACAACCCCATGCATGTCCCTGCCTGGCCCTCGCACACCCAGAGTATAGAGCGTTGTGTACAGCAAGTGAGCGAGGCCAGCAGTCACGTGTACAGCCAGGAGAGGAGGGAAGGCTACATCCGAGCTCAGGTGGTCAGCAGGGAGGTGATGAGTAGAAACAGAAGCAAGAAAGACATGTTCTCTATGGTGTGCAGCAACACCGGGTCGTAGTAGTAAAACCGGTTTTGTATTTGATGATTTTGTTTTCTAAAGGAATATTAAATTTAATAAATGTGTCAAGATCATTCGTTTCACTATTCTGGATAAATTAACCTGATACATTTACTTTACTTTAAATAAGCTATTTAGTGGTGTTGGTAAAAGGGTGGGGATACTGAATTTTCATAAGATTTCAAGTTAAAATTTACCTAGCAAAAAATGAAAACTTTTCAAATCTGAAGATATCACATGATTCTGCACATAGAACTACATCATTAATACCATGGGCCGATTTTTCAAACTCAAAAAAAAAAATTCGCCTCCGTATGACACACCCTAATGGGGTACTCTTTTGGTTACTCTGTTTTCATTTCTTTCTTACTTACTTGTCCGGGTGATATCTCAGGCACTTTCCATGCTAGGAAGATGATACTTGGACTAAATGTTGACTAAGAATTAAAAAAAAAAGAAGATTGATTTCGTGCTTTTGATTTATATTTTGCTCAAGACATGGCAGTGTAGATTGAACACACTACTTGTTACCATTTTCTGGTGCTTATTATATCCCCATCTTCTGTTAGTTTTTCTCATCATCTGTCGCTTAATCTCATCGTCTGTTGCATATTATGTTTCCACCCTCGCCCATAGCAGGGCCAAAGATAAACTCACTATCCTCGATGTAGTTTAAAGTCTAAATCAAGGGTCCGCAACTTTTATACACTATTATAGTTCGCTACTTAATGTTCTTATGTTCTAAGAAATCAGCGATCGGCCGCAGGTGTACAGTACTGAGCCATCAAAAGTCAGTACTGCGTTCCACAGAATTGAATGTAAAATCAGAAATGCAGGACTAGATCTTATTGTAATTTTTTTTTTATAAACAACACCGATATTTAAGAACATGGAGCTTTAACTTGTCTCTGTACTCAAGGTTCCTAATGCTCGGGATTAGTCTTGTCATTCTTTGAATTCTTTCTAGGGTTTTTATATCCATTCTGCAGTGCGGTGACCAGAACTGAACAGTGTAATCCAAGTGAGGTCTCACAAGCGCACGATATGGTTTTAGGATAACCTCGCTAGTCTTGTTCCTAACTCTCCTCTGTATGAACTCAAGTACTTTGTTAGCCTTGTTTCGAGCAAATACACATTGTTGACTTGGTGTAAGATTCCTACTTAACATCACTCCTAAGTCTTTCTCACAGTCAGCTTTCTCTATAACAACGTTGTTCATCTGATATCTGGTTTCTCTGTTTACATCTCCTTGACTAAGTACTTTACATTTGTCACATTAAATTTAATCTGCCACATTTCAGACCATTCGAAAAATTTGCTTAGATATTCCTGTAGTTTTGCCGAGTCCTCGTCAGATTTAATTACAGGCTCTACTTTAGTGTCGTCAGTAAATTTACTTTTGTTGCTGTCTATGCCTAATGTATGTCGTTTATATATATATAATAAATAGAAATGGTCCAAGTACTGAGTCTTGGGGTACTCCACTAGTGACGTTACCCCAATCTGATTTAGTGCCGTTAATGCTTACTCGCTGTTTCCTATCCTGTAACCACGCCCTAATCCATTTTAGAATATCTCCTCCAATTCCATGAGCCTCCACTTTCGAATTAGTCTTTCGTGGGGGGGAATGTCGAAGGCTTTGCTAAAGTCGAGGTATACCACATCATAATCGTGTCCGTCATCCACTGTCTCGAAAACAGTTGAAAATAATGTTAATAGATGTGTCAGACACGAACGACCACTTGTGAAGCCATGTTGGGAATCATTGATCAACTTGTGCTTCCCCAGGTGATTTCAAATAGAGTTTGAAATTATTGCTTCCAGTAATTTACCTACAATTGATGTTAGATTGATTGGACGGTAGTTAGAGGATAGTGATCTATCTCCCTTCTTGAAAATCGGTATCACATTCTCTATCCTCCAGGATTCTGGTACTACACCCGTTTTTAATGACATGTTAAGGGCATATCAAGTTCGTCCTTACATTCCTTTAATACTTTGGCAAATATCTTACTGGGACCTGATGACTTATTAGGTTTTAGCTTGCCTATTTGTTTATTAACACCGTTACTAGTCACTACTATCTCGCTTAATCTATTTTTTTCACTATCTCTATATAATCGGTGCCTCGGGTATCATGTTTCAATTTTCGGTGGTGAAAACTGTTGAAAAATATATGTTCAGATTATTGCTCATTTCTCCGTCATTATCAGTAAGCTCGCCGGTTTCCGACTGTATTAGTCCAATCTTTTCTCGTGTTTTAGTTTTATACATTTGGAAGAACCCCTTGGGGTTTGACTACCTTTAGTTCATTATTCCTCTTCGCTTTTCTTATCTTGGTCTTAACCCTACTGGCCAAAACCTTATAATAATCTCGTAGGTAAACTTCACCACGATTTATTCTCCTACCTATAACCTTCCTTTGTCCAGTAATATTCTTTAAATAATTATTTATCCATTTAGGGTCATTGTTGTTTGATCTGAGTTTTCTGTATGGTATGTTCTGCCTTTGTGCATTGAGTAACTCATTATTTAAATTGTTGTGGATCTCATCAACCTTAGATCTCGTGATCATATTTTGTGAGTGTTATCGTTGTCATGTCACCCTCTGCGGCCAGATAAATGGGGTTGAAGACCCCTGGTCTAAAATGATGACTTCAGTCTTCTCCCCACGGTGCTCAGGGAGTCTGAGCTCCAAGTATCGGTTCCATGACATTTGCTCACGAGACAGCACAAGGCATATACTCACAAGAAGAACCTAGCCTAACCTAACCTAACCTAACCTAACCTAAGCTAAGCTAAGCTAAGCTAACCTAACCTAAGCTAAGCTAACCTTTCCATTAAAGTTGTGAGTATTTATCTTGTGAATATATGCCTTGTGAGCATTTGTCTTGTAAGTAGTCTTGTAAGTAAATTTCTGCACACCCCAAGTTTCAGATACATTCTGTTTATACGACAAAGTGCAAGTACTGTATATATCTCTCTCATGGCAGCTCTCAGTTACAGTTCCCGTAAATATATTTTATGTGTATATATAAATTATTAGACTAAATAAAGAACAGCGAATCGGTTGTTTCAACAAACTCCCTGCCACTTCGAGCGTAATTAAGTGACTAACTATAAGTGGCCATAACCATAGTGTTACAGCAACCTGGACATATCATCTGGTTCATCTAAATTTTTTAACTATTATCTCATCTTCTGTTGTTCACTGTATTCCCACCTTCTGTTGTTCACTGTATTCCCATCTTCTGTTGTTCATTGTATTCCCATTTCCTATCGCGTGTGTATTTGTGTATTTAGTATACAATTGCACTGTGCAGAACAAACAAGGTAGAGTTTGTCAGCATCACTTGAGGGTTCACGTAGAATTAGAAAATTTCGTAAGTAGTGAAGTCATGCTAAAGGAGGTGCTTCGGTCTAGATATTAATTAACGTGTGCTATCATAGAAATGAATACTGGTACACAGCGCAGTAGTGGCATCAACCTGCGTCATAATTATCTTCAACAGAACATTTATGAAAAGATAAGTTTTTCTCTCTTTAAATTAGCAAAAATTCATGATCAATTGTCATTATATTGGGCGTCAATGTTCTCATAGCTTTTACATCCAGTACATCATTTAACTGATGTTTCTGACAGAGAGGCCAGTAACAACAATGTACAGTACGAGAAGATCAAGCTGTACGAGGCAGTCACTTACTCTGATATGTGAGTAATGTTCTCTCCTTCAGGTGGCAGGCACGTGTAGTTGACTGCTGGGGCGTAGAACATCATGTTGAAGGTCTGCGACGGCAGGAAGAAGTACCCTGTGATAAACCACACAGGGGTTTAATTTTACACCTTCAAGTACATTCAGAAATTAGACGATTGGTATTAGTGGTGTCATGATCGGAATGACGGCTACCCTGTTAAACTAATGATCCATATTACGCTTACACGTCCACAAAACCTTCTGAGTCTCCCAGTGGGAATGTCCTCCGTTCTCCCTGTTTCTTTGACGAGGTCATCGAGATGTCATATGTTTGTTGACCAATTGTAAACTCTTTCTGCTACCGAGAAAATTTTTTTTTTTTTTATTGGGCACTCCCCTACATCCTCGTGTAAGGTGAAGCGCAGAAGCGTTTACAGCGCCCAACAGGGAAGCATGCTAAGTTCATGCTTGCCTTTATGTCTCATGAGTTAAGGGCGTGGAAGCCTGAAGAGTCAGTGGTTTATGTCATCAAGTCATTGGAAGCTCCAACAACTCCCTGAATACGAATTCGCAACTTTTGACTTACAACAGGTACCTCCTACTTTACTTCTAGGTGAACAGGGACTAATGGGGGCTAGGAAATAAGTCCAAACAACTTCCACCGGCCCGGGAATCGAACCCGTGACATCTCGCTTGCGAGGCAAGAACGGTACCGCTTCTACCACTGATCCCCCGCTACTGTCGAGAACCTGTAAACCCTTTTTTTTTCACCTATGATTAGCAGAGACTCTGATAACCACTGGTCAACATAAAAAAAAAATTCTCATGGTTCTGGATCAAAACAGTCTGATTCTAGTGTAATTGTATGTGCTGAACTCAATTATGACATTCGTATAGCTGTAACAGGCTCAGTTTTCCAGAACCAGCATATCTATATATTTAGTGTACCATGCTATTCATACAGTAATTTATATGCTCATTGGCTCCACTTATGCAATTATTTTGTCCTGATTTGTGCTTTTTTGTTTGTTTCAGTTTGCTGATTCATGATATTGCATATCTACACCTGCATGATTTGTAATTACTCTGAAATTAACAAAACATGGAACGTCGCAAGTGTGTGAACGGTGCTGACAGTTTTTGCTACATATGTGGTGCCTTCACTCCTGGTAGCCTCAAGAAACCAATCACAAAAGCTGTTCGACTGAACTACAAAAGTTACTTCAATGTCATTTGGGTGACCAAGACAAGAAATGGGCACCTCATGTAGCCTGTAAGTCTTGTGTTAACCACCTGAGCGAGTGGATGTGTGGTAAACGAAGTTCAGGAATGCCGTTTGCTGTACCAATGATATGGCGTGAACCTAAAGACCACAGCAGTGACTGCTACTTCTGTCTCACAAATATTAAGGGAATAAAAATCAAGACACGAGGCAAGGTACAGTACCCCAATATTGCTTCTGCAATCAGACCAGTACCGCACAGTGCTGAACTTCCAGTCCGAAATCCACCGACTGAACAAGAATTGAGTGCTTCCGATTCTACCTCTACCTCAATGGAAAACGACTACCAGGATGACTCTGAAAATACCAGGCCTAAACTATTTACTCAAGAAGTGCTTCATGATCTCATCAGGGACCTAAACTTGTCCAAAGAAAAGGCTGAAGTTTTGTGATCCAGACTAAAGCAGCGTAACCTGCTTGTAAAGGCCTAGGACTTAGGGATAGAAATCCCTTACCAGGCTAATCAGGATCTTAATAAAGGAAAGTCAAGGACCATGGTTTTCTGAGGAATAACAAACAACCGTTTGAGATTGGCATCTCTTTACTATAAAAATATAACACAAAACTCTGACACCACTCAACAAACATCAAATAATTACGGGAGTCAAACAATTAAAGGAAGCAAACACTTAAAGGAATCAAACAAATAATGGGAGTCAGCAATTAATGGATTCAAACAATTAAATGGAGTCAACAATTATAGAATCAAACCATGAACAAATATTTCCTACGGCAGTGGCCCTGGGGGAAGGTTCTGGAACACGGTGATGCACACTCAGGGTAACGAAACGTCCACTTCGACTCCACACTCAGCGACGTCTTGAAAAGGCAGGAGAACACCGGGGCACCGACGGAATGTGATGAACTGATGGTCGTGGTATGCGGTAGTGGTAGATGACCAGAGAGTTGGCAGTTGATAGGAGAAGGTCTGGGAACACAGCCCACGAGTCCAGGACCTATGATGAGATCACAGCCAGAATTTGACGGACAGCAGGGTAGCTAGATACTGACGGTATGGCGGCTGGGTTGAATCTGCCGGTGGCGGAGATAGTCGCTGCCGTTCTCACCTCCGTCCAACCACCCCAAGTGTCGTCTGCACCAGCAAACGAGCGAGTTAGCAGCGGTAACTAGCCGGAGGATCGTTTCCGCCCTTACACTGCTAGAAGATGGAGTGCATATCACTACAGCGCATTACCGACATAGACAGCTGTCTGCATTTTTCAAGATGGCAAACAACCTTTGTTATTGCGAGGACGCAGTATCTCTCATGCAACAACTCTGCAAGTCTGAAACATACAAGACAGAGGATTGGAGGCTGTTTATAGACTCAGGAAAAGACTATGAAAGCTGTTCTTTTACACTTTGGCAATCGGCTTCCATCTGTCCCAATAGCACACGCAACAAAAATGACTGAGAGCTATGAAACAATGAAAATTCTGTTGGCCGCTATAGAGTATGAGAAACACCAGTGGAAGATATGTGGCGATCTCAAAGACATCAGTTTACTACTGGGCCTTCAGAGTGGCTACACAAAGCACATGTGCTTTTTGTGCTTGTGGAACAGCAGAGCTGATGCAGAGCACTATGTGAGAAAGGATTGGCCGACAAGACCAAGAGATGCGCCTGGAAGGTTTAACTGTGCTCACAATCCGCTTGTAGATCCAGAAAATATATTTTTGCCTCCACTGCATCTAAAGCTCGGTTTGGCTAAAAATTTCATCAAAGCTATGGATCAATTCGGTGCTGGGACTCATTACTTATCTCAGAAACTAGGTGGTGTGGTTTCCAAAGCCAAGTTGAAAGCAGGTGTCTTGAATGGACCACAAATTCGTATACTAGTTAATGATAGCGAATTCACCAAAACATTGAACCCACTGGAGAAAAAAGCATGGGAATCATTTGTCAATGTGTCAAAGAATTTTCTTGGAAACTATCGTGCTGACAACTACAAAGAAATCGTAACAACCATGCTTCAGAATTATCATGCATTGGGAGCAAGGATGTCCTTGAAATTGCATTTTTTCCACTCTCATATTGACATTTTCCCAGGTAACCTTGGAGACGTTAGTGATGAACACGGCGAAAGATTTCATCAAGATATCGCCATAATGGAGAGCAGATATCAGGGACAATTCAGTCCTAACATGATGGGCGACTATTGCTGGACACTGCAACGAGAAGAGAGCAAGCTGTACAAGAGAAAGAGTAAAGTTCAGAAGCACTTTTAGAACTTCATATTTTGTCATTATTGTATAGATATGTAAATACCAAGATATGTGAACACGCCTGACGCCAAGACTCTGTTACCATTCATTGTACCATATATTCACATGTCTGTATTACTACATATTATTATAGCATGTTTGATATCTATGCTTATGTCTAATGCCTATGTTCACTTACTATGTCCCGATATACTATGTCTGTACCGCGCTAGTCAAGTAACTAGAAGACCTCATTTATTGTCCTAGTAATGTCTAGCAACTCTCCTTGCCTAGCTAGCTAATATCCCTCAGATCGGCTTCGGCCTGCCTACGACGTGGAGTTCCTTGTGCTGACTCCTGTTCCTGTACCGGTTGGTTATCCTGCCAAGTCTTGTACACTTATTGAATATATCTACTGCTCGTGCTTGGAGTTTGAAGAACCTTGTCTAGGATTTCATCCCACCACATGGCGCAGTTGAGTAGCTCCAACACGACAGTTGACAAGTTGCAAGAGCCGGCCTCGTCTGTTTCCCGGCCTCGTCTGTTTCCCGCCCAGAAGATATACTCCACAGTGCCCCTGGATTTAAAGTGCTTTGTGACCTTGTGAAGTGCCCTAAGTGAAGTGCAGTGCCGTTCATGTCTCTTTGCTATGTTTCTGCGGCCCTACAGGTAGCAGAAACGCTTTCAGCCCAGTTTCCAAGACAGCACTTCCGGCATACCTCCTCCATCTACGCCGGCCCACAGGCCACTGCCTGTGTCCCCCTTCGACGGAGCCAGCACCGCCAGCCCGCCCGCGCGCGGAGGAATACAGGGAACAGCACCGCCGCCAGCCGCCTCCTCTCACTTCACAAATATTACAGTCAGTACTCTTTTACTTGCCCGCCAGTTCCTGCACTTAGGCAAGTACATTGATGAAAACATAGCACTTCACCTTATTCTCCTTGTCTTTCCCATCGCAACCATACCAAACACGAGATGTCTGACCACGACGATTTGCAGGGAAATTTATCTGAGAATTATGAGGAAGACGACGCCTCACAGACCCTCCCACCCCCCCTCACGCCTCACACGCCGGGCGCGCCAAATTCAAAGGATGGGAACCAGGATATACGTCAGTTAATCCACTTCCTACAAGTTTCCCAAGAGAAGGAAGCCCAAAGACGTCAATTAGAGGAGGAAAAACGACGTCAAGAGGAATGGTCAAGACGTCAAGAGGAATTGTCAAGACAGTCAGAGGCATCAGCTTACCGCCTTCAACTTCAACAACAACACCAAGCTGATAACCACAAACTCCTGGGACTATTGGAATTGCTGGCAACGAGGACGACTTCACCAGCTGCCACAACCAATTCGCCAGCTTCAGCCTCTTCATCTATCCTTCAGACAACGCCTCCTCACACGTCACCTATCCCACTTGGGTATACCTCAGTGCCTTCTCAACCACCTGCTCCAGTCTCAACTCTCGTCAACCTCTCCGTGCCTCCTCCACCGCCTGCCGTCTCGAGTACACCCCTGCACAGCAAGTCTTCAGTTCCCAGTCCCCCACCTCTTCAATCTGATGCAACATATCAAGTATACCGTCAATGGCGACGTCGTTTCGAAGACTTTGCTGTTATGTCTGACCTCAAC